ATTATTTCTATTATGTGATCTATTTATTTTAATACGTCCTTTCAGGTATTTTTCATTGTTACTATCCTAATCATGGACTTCATCTCCCACCAGCTTTTTAAAGAATTTTTATTACACATTTTGGATTCAAATTAGAGAATTATTCGAGTTTAGTGTTATTTAGAATATACACGTTTCTAAAGTGTTTAAAACTTAGTCCCCTGCTATAATTTCATGCTAATTGATATTCAGACATTTATTGTACTCTTTCATTGTGAATGTTTTTGTCAGACGTTCTTTACTGTCTATCTTTATAAATTCTTCTCCGATTCTTTCTTGTATCTTTTCTTTCATTTCTCATAGTCCTTGCGGACCGTTGAGCCGTTTCTAAGGCTGTTTCTTACGTCAAGGATGCAACCCACTTGACAGCCTTCCCTCTTTGAAAGGACGAGCATGTTTGGTGTGACGGGGATTCGAACCCGCGACCCTCAGCTTGCCAGATTGCCGTTGAGCCGATGGCAGATCGTGCTCTGCCATCGTTTCTAAGGCTGTTTCTTACGTCAAGGATGCAACCCACTTGACAGCCTTCCCTCTTTGAAAGGACGAGCATGTTTGGTGTGACGGGGATTCGAACCCGCGACCCTCAGCTTGCCAGATTGCCGTTGAGCCGATGGCAGATCGTGCTCTGCCATCGTTTCTAAAGCTGTTTCTTACGTCAAGGATGCAACCCACTTGACAGCCTTCCCTCTTTGAAAGGACGAGCATGTTTGGTGTGACAGGGATTCGAATCCGCGACCCTTGTATCTTACTTTGTTTATTAATTTAATGTCCATACTTCTTTCTCACTATTCCGACTGATATTCAGACATTTACTACAAAGTTACTTCGCCAGTTTACTTTCCGACGATTAATAGTTCTTACTGTGTCTATTGCTTACAATAAGTTACTTGTGCTTTATTCTCTAGCATTATTTGTATATATTTATTGATTTCTTCCTATCATTTCTAATAGATCTGCTGCTCTATTAGTCACCACGTCTAGTACACAAATTAATTACTCCCTTTCTGTGCTTATCTACTAAGAGATATTACTGAAAGTAAAATAAATATTGGGAAATAATTAATTCGGAGTATTTATCGACTAGTCGGAAGACACAAAGAAAAAGATCGTTCCATATACAACCAGGATCTAAAGCTTCCAGTCTGTGAGCCGTATATGTGATTGAGAGATCGTTCCATATGCAACCAGGATCTGAAGCTTCCAGTCTGCGAGCCGAATATTTGAGAGAAAGATCGTTCCATATACAACCAGGATCTAAAGCTTCTAGTCTGCGAGCCGTATATTTGATGTAGATACAGCTTTATAGGTATATATAGAGTAAGGAAGAGTGTTCTTCCAATTAGTTAGTAGTTTATATTCAAATAATCAACGCTGGGCTTAATAGCAATTATTAAGCTGTTTATAGTTTGTATTAATTTGTTAATCAAAAGTAATATTACTCAGCTAAAACTGAGACAGAGAAGCAGAACAAAAAAAAAAAGCCATTGGATGTTAAAATGGAAACATCTAGGATTCGATACACTAGTCAATGGATTTACATTAATTGGGTCTGGAATACCCGAGTGTAGTGTCATCTAGGTAGACCTCAAAATACGCAGTTTCACAGGTTCAATCCTGTCTGGTTAAACCATTAATAAATCTGCGTACAGGAGTGAAGATCCTTTTTACAACAAAATTTTCATGGTTTCTAGAAATTTCAATAATTATATTCAACTACATTTCTAAAGTATTTCCAAGGCACGTGTTCATTGAATTATCTATATTATTCTAAAGGTGAAACTGATTAAAATAGTCGGTAGTTCCTTTACATGAACCCAAGAACCATAGAACCACTTTTTTAATGTTTGTTTGTTTGTTATGAATTTCGCGCAAAGCTACACGAGGGCTATCTTCGCTAGCCGTCCCTAATTTAGCAGTGTAAGACTAGAGGGAAGGCAGCTAGTTATCACCACCCACCGCTAACTCTTGGGCTACTCTTTTACCAACGAATAGTGAGGATGACCGTCACATTGCAACGCCGCCATGGCTGAAAGGGCGAACATGTTTGGTGTGACGGGGATTCGAACCCGCGACCCTCAGATTGCGAGTCAAACGCCCTAACAACCTGCTTTTTTAATGATCTTTGGGAGTTTTATAAAACTAAGAAGAAGTTATTTTTCTTTTGGTACAGTTTGAACACTTTCTGATATGACTGATTTTCCACCTTAAAATGTGAAGTATATTTATTTATTTCCCCGTTTTGGGATATTTTTGCATTGGATGTCGTTAGTGCTTAGATCATAACTTGTTCTGTATTAGATCACCTAAAAGTGTTTTCAGTGGTTTTATTGTTCTATGTATGATATAATGAACGAATTCTACTAATAGCAAATTTAATGTCAGTTATTTTGAAAAAAAGTTACATTAATTATAATATTGAAACTAATAAGTATCGGTATTAATATAACTATCAGATAGAGTTGTGCTAAGAGTCGAATTGACACAAATAAGTTTGAGTCGATAAGAGTACATATATATCCAAGACAGAGACTTTTCTATTTAGGTTTGTATATGCCTAAGAAAGGTCTGTCTCAATGGCTTTATATATGTATGTGAATGTATCCAAAGGGGTGATTTTTCTTTCTAACTTAGTATTTCCTAAAGAGTTTATAGCTTTATTCTTTTGGTAAAGGTTGTTATTGATATGAGTCATGTCCAAGAAAGACCTTTCTTTATGCCACAAAGAAATATTTCTCTATAGATATATGTCTTCAAGAGAAACATGTTTCTACAGGTGTGTACGTCAAAGCGAAAATTTTTTCTATGGGTGTATATATCTCAAATATAAAATGATGATTTAGATTTCAATTAACAGAAATGTTGCCGTCAGTGGTATACAATAAGTTGTTGTGGGCTTACCCTATGACAATACAATTTAAGGGTTGAATACCGTTCTGAAATTTTATTATATCCATCATTCACGCAAAATGTTAGCGGTGAAGGTATAGACAACTGCAAATGAAACGTTTTAAAATACCATTCTGAAATGTTATTATATCTGTCATTCACGCAAAGTGTCAGCGGTGAAGATATAGTTTGTTTTTGATTTTCGCGCAAAGCTACACGAGGGTTATTTGCGCTAGCCCTCTCTAATTTAGCAGCGTAAGACCAGAGGGAAGACAGCTCGTCATCACCACCCACCGCCAACTCTTGGGCTACTCTTTTACCAACGAATAGTGGGATTGACCGTCACATTATAACGCCCCCACGGCTGGAAGGGCGAGCATGTTTGGTGGGACGGGGATTCGAACCCGCGACCCGCAGAGTGAAGGTATAGACAACAGCAAATGAAACGTTTGAAGCCAATTATTAGCAAACTCGTTCTTCAAGAACCATAGTCTTAGGCACAGAAGCACTGCTTCCATGCATATCGAATTGCGCTACAGAATATCAAAGTCTGACTACAGCAAAGATTGCTAGACAAACATATGCAAGGTCAGAATTTTGTAAAACCAGGTCATTGCAGCTTTGAGTAGTCCAAAAACGGTAAAAAGTGTTAATACAAAATCCCTCTACATAAGGTGTCATACAAACTTTATGTTGCATCTGCTTCCAAATAATCTAAATAATACACAGTAATGAATTGAAAAACAGATTAACGTGGTCCTACTGTATATATATGGATAATTTTGTCAGAATGACCGGGCTGCTGTACGATTGTATGGCCAACGGTTCCCGGATGAACGTCATCAAATGGTAGGAAATGTGTGCCAGCGGCTACATTATGAAAGCTTATTTACGTACAGAGACTGTCCGGGCAGACCAAGAACAGCATGCAATACTGAAAATTAAACCGCACACTCTTGTCACATACGGACAGCACATAAATGCCGAGTGTTTGCTACCATTTCGCGATACTGTCAGATTTATTTAATGTGAATTTATGCCTATAATTGTTATTTATATTGTAGAGCAATTTTGACTTGTTTGTTTATAGTTAAGCACAAAGCTGCACAATGGGCTACCTGTGCCCTGTCCAGCAAGGGTATATTGAAATCCGGTTTCTAGTGGTATAACTCCACAGACATGCCGCTGTGCCACTGGGAAGCGATTTTGGTAAATTGTGAATTAATACGTGTCTCATTTGCATTTGAGCTTTTTGGTGTATGCTGTATGTCAATAAAGACATAAACGATATTGTCATAAGGTAAAACCACAACACCTCATTTCACATTATTAATATTAGTAATAATTATGTTCTTATACTTCCCCAATTCTAAATTATTTACCTGCCAATGGCCTTCTGAATCACCCGGTATTTTCAAAAGAGGGTATATATTTAAAATGTATATGTCTGGGAGTGGTCTTTTTTTATATGTTTGAATGTTCATTAGTTTTATCTCTACAAGTGTCAGAAAGAATTGTATCTAAATCTGTATATTTTGATAGAGGCCCTTTCTCCAGAGACCTATATGCTTGACTTTTTTTTTCTATCGTATAGGTGCATTTGCTCAAGAGAAGACTTTCACTAAAGGATTTGGTGTACCAGAGGATTTTATCTTTATAAATTTATATATCCTACAGCGTATTTTTTCTGTGGGTGTATATGTTCGAGAGAAGTTTTTAACTTTAGATGTCTGAGATAATCTTACCTGGTAAATGAAAACATGCACGAACTTGTACTTGCTGTATTCTTCCGGCCAATTCTACCATAGTACCGTGTTATTTGCTTATGGTGAATACATACAATGTGTGTGTATTAGACAATAAATGTTATTTGACAGCTTAAACAACATGCACGAACTTGTACTTGCTGTATTCTTCCGGACAATTCTACCATAGTACCGTGTTATTTGCTTATGGTGAATACATACAATGTGTGTGTATTAGACAATAAATGTTATTTGACAGCTTAAATACACTATTTCAGAAATCCTAATAGTTCTGTAGCTTTCCTTACGGAAACTGAAACTGTAACTCACCTGCACGCGGGCTTCCGTCAAGTCTACTCTCATGGCGAGCTCTTCCCTATAATGCAAAAAAAAAAAAAATCTAATTACTATCGTGTAAACTAAATGAATTTAAATGTTAAGGACAAATACATTTGAAATCACTGGCTAAAATTAACTCCCATTCCCACATCTTTCACGAGGATGCAAAAGTTTAATCTAAAAGCTATAACATTGAATGAATACTACAAACTTACACGCAAAGTTTTCCAGTTAAATTAGTACGCTTACTATAATTAATTTGCGAATTTAAAAAATTCTGGTTTTAGTGAAAATTTCGCTGTTTCCACCGAATTCACAGTAAAAGACATTACAGAAGTCAAATTTGTTTCTACTAACAGTTCACAGAAATCAACACTTGAATAAAAAAGAAACAAGAGAGATAAAGAAATAACGAGACTTTTAAAAATATTTTCAAGTACGATTGTCATACGTGATAGTTTATGTCATATGATATACGCGCAGTGTACTAGACAACATTACTTGAGCTATCCAACAATGTTCCAGATATAAACTTAAGATTTGAATACAGTCAAACCCTTTTATTCGTATCACTCTTATGTAGAGTTCGTTATTAAACAAGTATTAAAAAGTGAAAAAACTAATATTTTTCTTGTTCGATATTTGCACTCACAACTTATTTCGACTACGTACCTATAGGTGTCGGCTATCTGCTCTTCAGATAACTGTTGTTGTTTGTAGAATTTCGCTCTAAGCTACTCCATGTTCGATGTTCCTAATTTGAAGTGACAGACTAGGGGGGGGGGGGACAATTAGTCAACACCATCCACCGCTAACTCTAGCAACGAATAGGGAGATAATACCGTAGGTTTATAATGCATTACCCACGACCTTAAAGTGCAAAGTGCGATATATTTTTTTTTTGTAGGACCAGCGCGCGAACCACGGAACCTCAGATCCAGTCTGGTATTCTAACCAATCGGTCCATATTAGATATCATTTTATATACATATAAATAACTATGCCGATTACATCACAAAGTAATGATTATCCGTTTGCAAATATTTTGATTTGTAATAAAGAAACGTAAGTCATCTTCGGCTAATTTGTCTGAAATTTTACTGACTTTTCGCTCAGATTTCTTTTAATGAAATTTGAATCTACGTTAGCGAGGATTAATAATTGTGACGAAAAATTTATGTAAATGTATGTAAATTGATGACGAATCTATGAAATTTTTGTACAAAGAACGAACTTTTTTTAGATTTTTCAATTGAATAAAGCATACAACTCTATCAAGTTTATATTATGAAACAGGAATCAAACTTGAGCGCCGTTCGATGTACTTTTGCACCTTCTTTGCATAAGAGCCAAGAACTCTACAAACAACAAGTTCTTCAATTTTCTATGATGTGGTAGCATGTTCTTGATACGGTAAGTTTTTTACATACATATAAGGTAGAGTATAATTATTATTGTGATCGTATACATTATTATTTTCCAAGCGGAAGTTGTTTCACTTCAACAGAGATGAATCCTCCCTGTGTAGAAGTCAAAAAAGAATAAGAAGAAAGAAAAAAAACGGAGTTCCGCAACTTTGTCTCTTGAAACTTCTATGTTTTGTTTTCTTATGACTCGATAACCTGGAGCTTGTATTTCAGAAATAGAATCACCTTCACGTCGCACAAACATTTTGTTTGTACTAGTGTTAACAAATACACATACAAACCTGTAAAACGTATGTAGAAGAACCCTTCATCCTACTCAGTTAAATTATATCGCGATAAAGTATACAAGCTCTTATATGAATAGGATAATATAGTGTGGAAGCCAGCACTTCTGTTTGTAATACGAATAAGATAATATAGTGTGGAAGCCAGCACTTCTGTTTGTAATACGAATAGAATAATATAGTGTGGAAGCCAGCACTTCTGTTTGTAATACGAATAGGATAATATAGTGTGGAAGCCAGCACTTCTGTTTGTAATACGAATAGGATAATATAGTGTGGAAGCCAGCACTTTTTTTGGTAATATGAATAGGATAATATAGTGTGGAAGCCAGCACTTTTGTTGGTAATATGAATAGGATAATATAGTGTGGAAGCCAGCACTTTTGTTGGTAATATGAATAGGATAATATAGTGTGGAAGCCAGCACTTCTGTTGGTAAAATCTTTTGAAAAAAAAAAACTCCATTGTGCACGTATCATAAGTTTACACACACACACACATATATATATATTTAAAAATTATTTTCTTACTTACCTTTCTATATTGAATTTAAAAAGTACTTCATGAAGATTGGTATCAAAGAATAACTTTTTCTGTAAATTTTAAATGTTTCATTTAGTAAAAGTAAATGTAACACGTATATATTTTCAACCTGGCACTTTATGGGATATTTGGGCTAAACATTTAGGTTTAGGTACCACTGGAATTCAAATATAGTCCACTTTAGTTTGAAATACTGATCAGTGGAAAGCCGGCACCCGCTGGGTTTGTTTTGATTAACGCGATTCATTGTTACTCTTATAACGCATCCATATCTGAAAGTGTGAAGCTTATTCATCAACACTACAGTTCTGATTTTGAACCTTAAAGTATACAGTCCAACATACTAGTTATTAGGTGACTCCTAGCTCTACGAGGAAAGTTTGTACATTTTTTGTACTTTTAAAGCTGCAGCTTTATCGACAATACGTATCATTTTGCATGTCCTTCATGTAACATAAATTTTAATGATGTACAGGCTTGTATGATTTCCACCTGTTATATTTTTCTTGCACTCTTTAGGATATTGCTCTTAAACAGTATATCGAAAAACTTTCCTTCAAAGAAATAATAACGACTTTGTAACTCCATATACATGTATATTTTTACTTCTTTCAAGTATATTTTCCATTCTTCATTAAGCACTACATAAATATCATTTTTATATAATTATTTCACAGTAAATACTTACATTTATATTTGAAACAGTGATGTAGTAAATACGTTTAGCTTGTAAAATGTTTTTGACAATAACGAACAAAATTATATACAGATGTATACAGGAGAACAAATAACCGACGATTCAGAGGATGTAAAGTTTTAGTTAACAAAAACAAGTGAGGAGGCGCATTTTGTTTATTATAAAATCAGAACATCCTATTTTCTGGTTTATCATAAAATAAGCTTTCAAATAATCGTTTATGATAATTGCTGAAGTACGTACGTTGCTTTACAATACTGGAGTAGACAATAGATTCAGGTACATGAACATGTAAAGATGAATACTGTAACAGACGATAGATTCAAGTAGATACACAGTTGTTAAAGACTGATTTATGAAAACGGCAATTCAGCTGAACTGTTAACACCCACAATCCTTTTGTTTCGTTTCTGAGATCAACCTCTCTCTTTCTTAAAGCAAAAAACTAAAACAGTCGAGCAATAGAAATTGTGTGAAGAGCGTAGCCAATCATATCCAGGGCATCCGGGTCTTTAAGTAATCTTACATTGCCAGCATACCTTTCAGGAAAAGTGTATCACCTAACACAAAGCGACTAGTCACTCTGGAGTTCCAGTTCAATTTTCAAACAGATGTTAAATAATAGGCTAATATAACTTCTACATAATAAGGACGATATCGTAACCGTACATAGTAGGCTAAATCTCAATAAAATGCATATTGTAAGTTACAGAGTGTTGAGTTTATAATGATCGATTATCCCAACTCTCCTCCTTCCCGTTTTAGACCGCTTCAGCAGCCAACTTAATTTAATTAAGGAATCTCACATTCGTCTACTGCTTTAAATTGAAGTATTATGATCTTCTGTCTGCATTCCAACCAGCAATATGACAACAATTTCCAACGGACAGATTGCACATGAAAATGTCTAGCAGCAGGAAATTATTTCCACACTTAACTGAACAACTACTTATTTGTTCAAGAATTGAGCATTATTAACAATCTTCACAAAACTATTTACAACAATGGCTGAATACAATATCAAACTAATCCATCCACACTACTCATTCGTCTGACAGGAAGACATTCCCAGAGATACTCTACACCCGATTTAAAACAAATACCCTTCAAAGCTAAGTTAAGTCTAGAATTATACTAACTGTAATGGAAACATAGTCATTACTAATACAGAAGTAAATCGTAATATTGTGAATTCTAATACTGTACAACACGCAACTAAAAAACAAACGAATATATACCTTGAAGAGCTTTACAATAATTTTCCTATACTTCAGTTAGCTACATACAAATATATATTAAACCCCAATGCTCCTGAATTAATAAATCAACTCTAACAAGGTGCAGACTTACATAACTAGTTAACCTAAACTTAACCTTTCTATTTTTTAACTTTGCTAAACACACATATCCTACACCCGAAACTTGTTTGGTTGTATTAGAGCAAAGCCACATGAGCTATCTGTTTTATCTACCGCGGGGAATCGAACCCCGTATTTTAGCGTTGTAAGTCCGAATATTTACCACTGTCCCACCGGGGGACATACACGAAACATCGTCGCACCTGTACTCTTATAAAACTATAAACGAAATCCTATCCTAGCTATCTTCTCATCACATACAAACCTATCTTACCAAATTCATTGCTTATCCATCGCCGCAAAATTTAATGTAGGGTCACTTACAAAAAATCGGTATGCGAAGAAAAGAAACAAAAACCTAATTTCAAATCAATGCCTTAAAGTGAAGAAATTTTTACTTTGAATGGTAATCTTCGAAACTTTTATAGAATGATAAAAGTGAACCCCTTTTGGTCCATGGGCATATTAAACTATAATTAACTCTTCAGTCAATATTTACCTACCAAAGAATATTGCACTACAATTTAGTGAAACTCTAATACTTATGACAAATATAATTAACTATAATCATGCTTCGCCAGCTTGGAAAAGACATTCACACCATAACAATGGCATAGAATTATTTTTAATTTTAATTTAACACAGGATAAACAAGTTAAACATTTGGTCCGCTATATAATATGGAATAATGAATTCGACGAAATGTCATAATATTATTTACATAATTT